TTATTACGATTTACGATTTTATTATTTCACGTGACAATATATTAATTTTTTTATTTTTTAATTAAAAATAGACTTGCTGATGGTAAAATTCTTATAATAGGTGGATCGACTGGAGGAACAGGTCTTAATAATGCAAAATTGAATAATCCTACCTATGAAATATGGTCAAGTAATGACACTGTAGGACCCGCACAACTTCCACTTGCATTCTTGGCAGACACGTAAGTATTCCTCTTGGTTGTTCATTCGTCATCTGTATTTTTTTTAAATTATTAAAATCTTATACATCTATATTATCTATTATATAGATTACCATTCAATTTATATCCAATAGTTCACATAGTTCCAAATGAAGCAAAGAAAAATCTTATCTTTGTATTTGCCAATAAGAAATCCATTATTTATGATTTAGATACTGCAACGGTAGTTAAAGCACTTCCTGATTTAGTCGGTGAATCACCACGTGTCTACCCATTGACCGGTACCTCCGTGTTTCTACCATTGAAACTGGCTTCAACATACAAAACTGAAATTATGATCTGTGGTGGTGGAACTGCTCAAGTGCCAAATGCACCTGCTGATTCAACATGTGGTAGAATGGATATTTTGGCTCAGAATCCTGTTTGGGAAATGGATAATTTCGGTGGTATAGGTCGTGTTTTGCCCGATGCTGTTATATTACCTGATGCAAAAGTTTTGTTCTTAAATGGTGGTGGTGTAGGTTTCGCTGGTTTCAGAAAAGGTGCAGCAGCAACATTATTGAGGGCAATAAAAAAAATCAGAAAAAAATAAAACGTGAGATAATGTTTTAATTTATTATTATTCATAATTTCTGATTTTCCAAAATGATTATGATGATTTATTATGAAATAATATAATTAATTTTAAAGGAAATAAATTTATTGATATATATATATAAAATTAATTTTAATATTAATATTAATTTTTTTTAAAAGAAAATAAATTTCCCAATGGTTATATATAAATTTTTTTTTTATATGATTGTTATATGATTTTATTTTAACCCTTTCAGGGCTGTCTGTGTGTGGCAAATTGCTGTCCGTTTAACTTGATGAATATTAGGGATTCCTAAGGAGGGGGGTTTATTTGATTGATTACGTCGTCATCATTTCATAAATATAAAATTTAATTATCATATTCATAATAACCATAAGTTGATAATATTATAGAAAGTTAGCGTTCTTTTTATGCAGTTGTTTTAGTTGTCAATGATTTGTTTCTTATTCAAATTGAGATTAATTACTTTTTCTGTAAATAAAAAGTCCGATATCTTCTTCCCCTGCCTCCTTATGTTATCTTTTAATTAATTTAATTTTTTTTTTTAATAATCATGATTATTATTCTATATATCAGAATTTACCATAAAAATTCACAGATAATTAAGAAATCGGCAAAATTTAACCGATTAAAAAAACAAACAAAAATTCATCTAAATTAAAAACCATTTTCATAACTTATATGGTAAAGATTTACTAAAAAAGTGTTGAGAAACAGACCAATTGAACAATCAATATCAGTTTGAAACATGAAATAGGCTTTTAAAGAGTGAATTAATTTCAAAGAACAGATTTGGCGATACGCCATTACAATGATATTGTTGAAAGCAAATGAATGATATATATATATATATATATATATATATATATATATATATAAATCAAGTTTTCTCTTGTTATTTTCTTTACAAATCGATCGAAGAAAAAATATTTGTAGGGATTATGAAACACAAAATACAATAATAAAAATATTTATTGTATCACTCACACACGCACTCCAACACATTATTATTATTAAATGATAATTGTCATTGATAATCAATTAATGATTATGTTTTTAGCAAGTAATATAATCAATTTCCTATTTATCTCGATTGATAATAACTAGTTTTTTATGTTTACAACTATTATTATTGAGAGAATGGGAGAGGGAAAGAAAGAAAAAAGAGCGGAAGGGACCAAAATCATCCAAATCATCATGTGGAAACACAAATTGTTATTTATTTGAAACAATCAAAAAAAAATTTTCTTAATAGGTGTGTGTGCGACATTCATGTATTATTGATTGGCCACATATATTTGTTTTCACGATCAGCATAATACCTCCTAAATACCATTTTCAATGATATAAATAGACACTGGCCGAATTTACGTGAAAAGATAATAAGTAATATATGGTGTGTGTGTGTTTTAGAACTATGGTTTTTCGCCCCACTTAATTTTGTTCTTGAGCATGCACATTCTGAAAATCAATTATATTTTTTTTTTTTGAAGGTTTTCACCATGAAACACGCCATAATCTACAGTGTCTATTTATATAAAACAATATATGTGTAGAAATTATGTCGATCACAAAAAAAAATTACATTAATTAGAGATTGGTTTTCTTGGAATGTCTGTCGCACACTCAATGAATGGTAAATGATGAATGACGAATGAATGACGAGTGACGAGTAAGTGGTGGGCGAATAATGGATGAATGAATGAATGGATGAATGGATGAATGGATGAATGGATGAATGATGAATGTATGGAAATGGATAATTGAATTAAAAAAATAAAAAAGTCCTAATTTAAAATCCTAAATCCTTACCGCTTTAATTATCGCTATTAAATGAATTTGTTCTCACAAACAAACGATTTTGGCATTATCAGATTGAGTTGAATTTTGACGATATAAACAGTTATTTGTTTGTTTTCGTTTTACGTTTTACATGTATACACTCTGTGCCATATTTGTTATCTCAATGTAAGTTACACACATTACATATTACATGGATGTGCTTTAGAGTTTCCTAAAATTCATATATATATTCTAAAAGAAAATTCCATCTTTGATAAAATAAAATTCTTGAAACTTCGAAAAATAAAAACAGCAATAACAACAACAACAACCATTTTTTTTTTCCATTAAATACACACAAACACTTGTTTTTCCCGGGCGTGTTCAATAAACACTCGATTAAGTTACTCAATCACTATTTATTGGCACAAATCATTCATTCCTCCCGTTGTAATGCCATCCTCTGTGCAAGTAAAGAATGTCATTATAATGAAAATTCATATAACGCCATGTAAGAATCATTATCGTATGATTTTATAATATATTTTGAAACTAAAATTCTGTTTTCATAATGATAAAATTACTGAACTGTGCTTTGACTAATTTCAAAAACTTTTTAGCTAATTTATCCCGAGTTAAACTAGGATTATGTTTAGCACACTTGCATATTTCTTTTTTTTTGTTGTTGTTGTTGCGAAATACTTAAAAGAGGTTCTTTTGGATAAAAATGCTTTTTTAAAACGAAAAAGGCACGATTTTTTATTAAAGAACAGTCACAACTATGCATTTACATAATCGTTGCACGAAATGTTGATCATTTAATCATTTATTGATCAACAAAGCTTTTGATTGTCATTTGCATGGCATACACTGTATTGCACCGCAGCATACTTCTATAACAGTCAATTATTTTATTATTATACAATTTTACAATAGGATAACTTTCAATTCATTGTCCTCATATACAATTAATTTAATAAGTATAACGGGATACATTATTATAACGGGAATAAATTTATTTGGCATCATTATTCATTATGACTAGCTGTCATTATGACGGAAGTGACTTATATTAGCAACGTTCGCCCAATACTGAGTCCGGAATTTTGACCGGGACGTCATAATTATAAAAATATAAGCCACTATTGGAATTATTGTAAGCTAAATTAGGATTTTAATACCCAAATAGGTTAATTAAATATTGTATTTATTTTTATTATTATTTTTTTTTTTAAATTTTTTTACTTGTTTTTCATAAGATTTAATATGGTGTGTGATCCACATCTTATATACTAATATTGATCAATTGATTAAATTTCGATTAATAAAAATCGTTAATAAACAAGATTGTTGATTAAAAATTTTTCTGTGTGAATAATGCCATATATTTGTTGAATATAGGTAAAATTAAGGTTAAAATTTTACCAGAATATATCATTAGTAACGCAAATTTATTGTTTATGCTTATCTTGGGATAAATTTCAGAGATTAGAGAATATTCCAATAATAAATTGACTTATTAAGATTGGTGAATTGGTCTTGGCCAGTTAAATTAGTACTATGAATAAAATTCTTTAGTTGTTTTTCGCGACAAATGGATGATGTATTGTACTACCACTACTAATTTATATTCTTATTTATACAATTATTTACTTAAAATGGATTAAAAATAATACATCAGGTCATTTTTTTTTTTAATCTTTGATAAATATGAACTTTCTATATTTTTAGATTATTAAAACAAAAACCAATCGGGATATTGTTTAGAAAATACGAGAATTTTTTATTGTCGGTTAGCCCCCCCCCCCCTCCATCATTTATTAACATTACAATAAAAATAAATGTGTTTTTATTTTTTAGTCGCACAAATTTTTATTTTTGGAATTTTACGGGGAAAAAAATCCTTTAGGGAATGCCAATGCCAAGGAAGGCCAAAAATGATGATGTATGTATGTTTGTATATGTGTATATATAAATAAAATCATTGATCGTTTGCGTTTTTTTTAGAAATTAACTGACTAATTCAAACAAATGTATGTATTATTTTATTTACTTTGCACAACTATATAATAATCAGCTTCTAACCATATTAGGAAGGGCTTTTATTAATGCATTATTTACGACTACGATCCTGATGAAAAAAAAAAATTTTTAATCCGACCATTTTATTTAACTTTCAATTATCAATATTCTGGATCAAGTTAGCATGGTATTACTGTTTCCATTCTATATACATTATTACTATTTCCATTCTATATACATTATTGCTATTTTTATTTTTTAGATAAATAATAAATTCTTTTTTTTTTTTTTTACGAATAAAATTTCTTTTATTTTTATTTTTTTATTCCTTTGAAAGTTCTCCTTTCTTGACAATAAATAATAATAAAAACTCAAATAATAAATATTTTTAAATATTTGTTATTGTAATATAATGATCAAAGAAGTTTCGTTTTAAATAAAAAAAACAAACAACAAAAACTAAAATTATAAAAATAATTGAATAATAAAAACCTTGAATTTAAAAAAAGAAAAATATAATGTTCCCAAGTCTTAATTTGTTGTTGACATTATGTTTATTGTTTACAATTTTGGTCACGGGATCTCCTATGCATTGGGATCATTATCAAAGTAATTATTTGATTAATCAACAACTAGCAAAATGAATTAATTATTAAATTATCTTTCTAATGTTTTTTAGAAAGAGCTGATGATCCAACTCTAGGAACGTGGGAGTTATATGGATTGTAAGTAGTAATATTCTTTCTGAATTTGCTTTTAGTAAACCATCAACCAATTGATCAATCTCAATTAATAATTGTCGATCTTTAATAGATCTGGTGTCTCTGCAATGCACATGGCGGTTTTATCATCGACTAAAATTTTATTTATTGATAAAGGTGATTAATTAATCAATTCTACCCATGTCAATCAATTACAACCCCATTAATAACCAGCCAACTAACATCAACATTATCTTTTTTTAGTCGAAGCAAATGAATTAAAACAATCCGATGGCTTATCTGCTATTGCTGCAGAATTCGATCTAACAACAAAAAATGTTCGTGCGATTGATCTGGCCACTAATACTTTTTGTTCTGCGGGTTCATGGTATAGTAATGGTTCATTGATATCAGATGGTGGTGGTCAACCTGGTGTAAGTTATTGTTTATATCCGATTCTTTATTTCTTCATTTAAAAAAATTGTATTTCACAATATTTTGCTCAACCAATAGAATAACTTTAAAGACGGTGGTAACACCATTAGAATTTATGATCCTTTTGTTGGTACTATGTACGAAAAAATTAATTTCATGACAAATTATAGATGGTACCCTACTATGGCTACGTAAGCATTATTATTGTTGTTATTATTATTGTTATCACGTTTTTTATATTATTATTGAATGTAATTCAATAAAATGATTATCTTCTTTAGAATGCCAGATGGAAGAGTAATGACAATGGGTGGTTCCAAAAAAGCAACCGGTCCTAACAGAGCTGAAATCAATTCTCCTAGTTATGAATTCTTTCCAACTGCTGATGGTTCACCAGCTGTGCCACTCAATTTCCAATTTTTGGTTGATACGTAAGTGTGCACTGTTACCATTAATATTGCTATGATAAATATCATCATTATTATTAACATCACTTCAATTATTATTCTAATCTAATAATGTATTATTTATTTATTTAAAAAATTATTTTTAGCCTGCCATATAATCTTTATCCATTCGTGCATGTAATACCTAATGCCGAATTGAAGAATGTAGCTTTTGTGTTTGCCAATAAAAAAAGTATACTTGTTGATTTAGATACTACCACAACTTTGAAAACTTATCCTGACATGCCTGGAGTTTCTCCACGTGTATATCCCTTGACTGGTACTTCAGTCTTGTTGCCATTAAGACCAGCTACAAATTATGCTGCAGAAATAATGGTATGTGGTGGTGGAACTGGGGCTACTCCGCTTTCTCCTGCTGATGCTTCATGTGGTAGATTAAATTTAAGTGTAGATACTCCAGCATGGGTAATGGATGATTTTGGTGGTCAAGCAAGAGTTATGCCGGATGTTGTTATTACATCTGAAGGAAATCTTTTGTTTTTTAATGGCGGTGCTACAGGATATGCCGGATTTCGTTAGTATTAATTCTTTTATTTAAATTATCATGATAATAATAATAATAATAACAATATAATGGTTGTTTTATATAGACAAAGGAAAACCAGAAAATCCATTATATATTTGTAATGACCCAGTTTATGCACCTTCATTTTATGATGTTACTGCAAAAACATACAAAAAACTTGCACCATCCACAATTTCAAGAATGTATCACTCAGTTGCATCTTTATTAGGTGACGGTAGAATAATAATTGCTGGAAGTAATCCACAACCAAATATTGAAGTTGGATCAACATACCCAACAGAGTTAGTAACTTTTCTTCTTTATTTTTACTTTTTAAAAATTGGTTTTTTTAACTTCTCTCTCTAACTGTATATATATATATATGTGTGTACGTATTCAATTTATTTATAATATAAAAAGATATCGTATCGAATTGTTTACACCACCGGCACTTTTAACGGGTAAACCAAGACCCTCCATTCTAACCGTAGCTGGATATAACTTGAATTCTGTAACGCTTTTAGCACATTATAAACAATCATTAGAAATCACCTTTAAGTTAACAGTCACCAACTTCCAACAAACATTACTTACCGCTTCAATAATTCATTTTGGTTTTGTCACACATTCTCAACACATGTCGCAAAGATACGTTGAACTGGCTATAACACTTGTTCAACCACCTGCAACAGCTGATTCAAATGTTTACAAGATTACGGTTGATATGCCTCCAGATCAAACCATCTTCCCGCCTGCACCGTCTTTCCTCGCTTTGCTTTATGATGGAATGGTTTGTGATCAAATGGCCGAAATTACCCCTTTCATAAAACAATGAATGAATGATTGATTGATTACAAAAAAACAATGCAAACAATTTTTCATTTAATTTTTTTTTTCGTATTACTTGATATAATTTTATTTTTATAAATAGACTAAGATTATAGCACAAAGGATTGAACTATTTATATAATTCGCATACGCACAATAACACATACACATTTATTTATTTATTATTATTAACCTTGTTGATAATAATACTTATTACTAACCTTGTTGATAATAATACTTATTACTAAGATGTCTTTTTTATCTCTTTTACTTAGAATAATATTTATTTTATTTACTCGATTAATTTACAAATAATAAATTATTATTATTTAATTGTCTTCATTTCCACTCCTCTAAAACAAATTCCAAATTCCTCGAATATTTTCGTATCATTACATTTAATTACAAAATCAGGCTTCAAACCATAAATCCTTGCTTTTATCTTCTCAAATATAATTTTTTACTTTTGATTAGATTTAATTTGCCATTAAAAAAGTTTGATGCATCTGTAATTATTCACTAACTCAAATGGACAAAGTTTTGCCAAGAAAACTATTCTAAATTTGAAAATTGCTTTGCCCTTACCCTTAAAAGTTTTAGGGGAAACCAGAGCCAATGATACTAATGCATAAATTTCATACATACGGAATCTTAAAGATCTTTAAGATTATACTACAATTATACAACAAAGAACAAAGAATTTCCCATCATGTGTGTCGTTTCTTCACATGATCATGTAAACTCACCAAATGAAAATTTTTTTTGTAAAGTTGCCAATCAATAAGTTGGTGCTTCAAAAATAGCTTGATATTTTAGGCTTTGTTCAATCTTGTGTGCTGTAGAATGTACTTGAATTCTTCTACATTTAATCAAGTCGGTCCATCTATTTTTACTTCAACTCCTTCCCTACTGATGGTAATTTTTTTTTTTTTGTTTACAAATTTACTTATATCCTTTATTATTATCCCACAAATTTCACAAATCGTTGTTGTACGAATTTCTAAATTGTGAAAATTTTTTTTTTAATTATTATGATATAAAGAATGAATCGAATTTGGCGACCAAAATTCTTTTCCACTCACTTTTCACATTCTATTAATAATAACAACAATAAAACTAGAATACTACTACTACGTAATAATTATGCTACAAACACTCAAAATGCAGTTCGAAAAGAAGGTGTTTATTTATCAATTTATTTGAAAACAAATTCTTCATATATATGCTTACTTTTTTTCATTTATGGATAATTATTGATTAATTAATCAAATTATTTAAAAAGGGTTTAATTCAGCGGCATGGAGAAACGCATTGTTATTTGTTTTAGCAGGGTTTGCGTGGTATCACTTTGGTCAATACATTACAAAAAATGGAGAAGTAAATTTTTTTGTTTTAGTTAATATTTAATACACAAGTTTATTATGTAATTGATTAAGAATATCTGTATTAACTTTTTGTATTCTTTATTAACTATTTAGAAAAAGCATCCAATTACAGAGGTTAGTGTGTGTGTGTGTGTTTGTGTGTGTGTATAATTTATTATTACTATTAATTTTCTTTTTCCTTTCTCTCTTTTCTTTTCTATATATAATTTACAAAGTACATTGAAACATTGATTACTCCAGAATCTGAATATCGAAGACGTAATTTAGAACATTTATATTTTGCTGTTGAACAATCAAAAGACAAGTAAGAAGAATATTTAGTAGAGAAATAAATAAATGGATGACTTTAATGCGTTGACTATCCAAAGCATGCATACATACATACATACACGTTTATTTATTATGTAATTATTATAACTATTAGGATTATTTTTGGTGAAGCACAAGTTCCACCAATTTATAGACTAAGGAATCGTTAGTAAGTAAATTAATGATTATTTCATCAATTTGATTTTTTCTCTTTTGTTTTTTGTTCATTTTTAAAAATCATTTATTATATATCATTTAAATTATTTAGTCAATTTGAAAATCACAGTCCATTCCTTAATGAACCTGGGACAGATGTCGATTTATCTGATTTAGTTATTAGATCAGATTGATTATCAGATGATAAATAATTGATTATTATATAATTAATTAAAATATAAAAACTTTTTTGTTTCTAAATATTATTTAATTATTAACAGATAGATAACTCATTTGTCTATAGTCAAACAAATATATATATATATATATATTCAAGTGTTTGACAAATGAAATAAAAATAAAAATTGTGTAGGATATACATCTATTTTGCAAGAATTGATGTTATTTTTGTTATTATTTTCCACAGATAGCATCTTTTTAAAGTTTCAATTGATTTCAGCTCTCAGATTTTATGGTTGTCATATGGGGTTGTTTCAGTAGAAAATACACAACGACAATAAGATTTTGACCCGGATTTTGTAAATCATTTAGTTAATACCAAATTTTTGTTCGTGTAATATTTTTAGTATAAGATAGTCGTATTTCTACTTAAAACAAACAAAAATCGTGTAGATCATCCGATTTTAATGGCCATCATACCAAACATTATTCATGTTTATCATTTTGGTCGGTTCAAAAAGAAAGGCATGTTGTTTATCAATAGCAAGATATATATGGTTTTTATTATTTTATACAAATGTATTGTTGCAATCAAAACATGGAGCAGAACTTGTCATGTCTTGGGTAATTACAAGACTCTTTATCATGGATAATAATAAACAATTGGTATCATTTTTGCTTTCCATAATTATTATTAATATTAATACTAAATAATAACATAATTATAAAAGGTGTCAAAGGATGAACACAACTGCTGTTGCAGAGTTGACGTGTAACATTTTATTATAGGAAATTGGCAAGCATCAACATGCTATCCAACATTTACAGTCATTCTCACACATTCTTCATGTCACAAAAGGCTAATCTTACCAAGTTTTGCCTGATGATACAATGATGCAACTAAATTCTCAGGGAGGTGGTGCATGGCCCTGGAGTTTATTGAAGCTGCTTCATTTCCAAGGATGTTTTGTGAATCCTACCTAACTTTACCTGAGCTGGAATTACTTGGATATGCATGCTGCTACAGGATGAAGTTGTGATCCAGGATGGATTTCTGGTATGTTTTGGCATTATGAGGAAAGATCCAAATATTGTTTATTTTATGTAAATTAATTCCCTAAAATTTTATGTTTCTTTGATACTAACAAAATTTATAATTTTGAGTAGGGTCATGACAACATTGAATGTATTATAATCATCACAAATTTAAGGGTAGAGTTTAGTCACACAGTATATCATATTATAATGTCTCATGGTAAATCTCAATATTTTAGTTATAACAATTTCTTCAAATTTATTTATACTAAATCATAACAACAATTCCATGAATGTATATTTATGCTTTACTCTCAAAACTATCTTTTACTATCATTAACCAATTTCTTATATTAAGAAATACTAATATCTTCTTTAGATTTTACACTCACATTTCTTGGTGGGTGCCCTTCTAACCATTTTCCTCTTTGCTACCAAGTCAGGTACGTCTCCAAAACTACTTGATAAAAATTATTAAATATTGCCTCACTAAAAAAAAGAAAAGAAACATAAAATAAGAGAAAATAATTATGCATGGGATTAGTATGTATTCATTGTTAGAGAGATTTATTATCATTACAAAAGTATAATATTTGAAGACAACAAGATCAAGGTCAGTGTTATTTGTTATGATGATTTATTAATTATTATGATTAATAATTATGTGTGAAGTTGAGAAAATTACAACATTATTTATACATGTTAAAGGTTCTATCATGATTTCTTTGAAATAATTTATTCTAATTAAATGTATTACTTGAACCTTCTGTGTAGAATTATTTTCAAGTTATTTCTAAAGTGATCCAATTATTTAAATTCCTTCGTTTAAATTAAATTTAAAGAATTAAAGTCTGTTAGATTTTAGGATGTTAGAATATTTTCCGTGAGTCAATTATTTTATTGATTTCCAGAAATTGTTATAACTAAAATATTGAGATTTACCATGAGACGTTCATAATATACCGTGTGACAGAACTCTACCCTTAAATATTTGTGATGATTATAATACATTTAATGTTGTCATTGACATAACAAAAAAGTGCATCTCCCAAGTAATACATAATACCAAAGCATGCAGAAAATGAAATTTTTTTAAGGGATACAATTTAAAAACAATAATGTGTGTCTATCCAGGTCTTTGAGATTCACAAAAAATAAATAAATGGCAAGGATCAAAAAAATAATTTTTCCTTCCTGTTGTGTAGTACCTTAAAAATCAATAATAAATCTGATGATGATTACAGGTGTCAGATTTAATAAATGTTTCCTATCACAAACCATGCAAGACGGCATAATTAAGTACGACTCAGCACCATGGAACTTTTTCCACAGGTGAGCCATCAGACATGTTGGAAGGCTTAATATAAGATGGACAAAAACTTCTTTATCTTTCCCCGGCTGTTACCACATGACCCTACTCAAAATTATAAATTTGGTTAGTATCAAAGAAACAGAATTTTAATGAATTAATTTACATAAAATAAACAATATTTTAGATCTTTCCTTATAATGCCAAAACATACCAGAAACCCATACCGAATCACAACCTCTTCCTGCAGCAGCATGCATATCCAAGTAATGCCAGCTCATGTTCCGTGAGGTAAAGTTAGGTAGGATTCACAAAACATCCTTGGAAATGATGCAGTTTCAATAAACTCCAGGGCCGTGTGCCACCTCCCTGAGAATTTAGTTGCATCATTGTATCATCAGGCGAAGCTTGGTAAGATTAGCCTTTGTGACGTGAGGAATGTGAGAATGACTGTAAATGTTGGATAGTGTGTTGATGCTTGCCAATTTCCTATAATAAAATGTTACACGTCAAATCTGCAACAGCAGTTGTGTTCATCCTTTGACATCTTTTTATAATTATGTTATTATTTAGTATTAATGTTAATAATAATTATGAAAAGCAAAAATGATACCAATTGTAATCTGCTTCATGTTTTGATTGCAACAATACATTTGTATAAAATAATAAAAACATATATATCTTGCTATTGATAAACAACATGTCTTTCTTTTTGAACCGACCAAGATGATAATGTTTGGTATGATGGACTCTTGATTGTTTTTTCAAATCGCGTCAACAAAATAGGGACTTCCTCGTACAGCAGTAGTAGCTTTATTTGTTTTATGCTTATGAGCTCACAACTTTTACATATTACAGTATTAATAAAATGAAAGAATCTAGGTCACATGTCCAAAACACGATTGGATGTCACTTCAATAAATTCCGTTTTATTTACAACATAAATTTTAAAATTTTATTTTTTATTATTCTTTGATGGATAAAAAATTATCAACAAATTTTTTGATCAATTTCAAAAAAAGAATATGGTCAGACTGTGAGCTAAGTCTATTTTGTAACAAAGTAATTTGTTGTCCTGCATCGGAGAAAAGTCCTTCTGAAGAAGGAATTGCCAAATATTTTTTGGCTAAAATAGCAAGTATTGGGATTTTTTTTTCATTATCACCATTTTAATGGTTCATTTTCTTCAGCAGGAAGCACTTGGGGTATGTTTTTATATGATTCTTCAAATTCATCTCTGTCTAATTCAGCTATTTCTCTAGTTGATACTGAAAAAAAGGAGGCCATTGCAGAATTTTTATTAATTGCTTGGACAGGCTGTGTAAAATTGGGTGATGATGCAGTAGAATATTTTATTTCTTCATATATTATTTTAAGTTCTGTTAGAGCATGTATTCATATTTCCTTTAAATAATATTTAATAATAAATTAAAAGTAAATACAACAAAGAATTTTTAAATTTATAAATTTAAAGAAAACTCACTCTTTGATAACTATTCAAATTTTTGAATCTTAAATCAAAAAATGATGCAAAAACAAGAGCATTGTTAGGTGAATACCACCTCATTTCTGAATCCTCTAATATAATTTTTCCAACTTCCTCTGCCTGAATCATATTTAAAATTTCATGTGACTTTTTAATTAATTCATATATTGTAGGATACTGTAAAATAGTAAATTATAAATCACAGGAAACAAACATATAAATCGGAAATGATTTACATGTATCACGAAGTGAAAATTTGGAAACGATTATCACGGAATAACTCAACAA